GACTCCCGCGGCTCCCTGAGTCCCTCACACCCAAGTCCTCCCATCACGATAGAGCGGCCCGGAGACTTGTCACTTGGTTCTAACCCCACCCACCCTCTGCCGAGCTGATGCGTTACACACCGACCTGCTTATAGAGCCACAACAGGGTGCAGACAACTGTGATGTCAGCCAGTGTCACACGCTCGCCCACCAGAAAGGTCCGCGTCTTCAAGTGAGCATCCAGCAGCCCCAGAATCCGCCTCACGTCCTCCTTTGCAGTCTCTGTGGCCTGTGGACCCAGTGAGTAAACTTATCAGTGACTATCAATCCCTCCCCCAATAACTGAACTAAGACGGCCGTTTCACTGACTCATCCCACCCTCTCACTGGGTCAGCGTCTAGGATCAGCCCAAACATGTCACATGCGAAGCACAATGTTACATTTGTTCCCGGCGCAGGCTGGCTCATGTCCTTCCCCCCTTTCCTTTCCTTTCCTTTCGGCTTCGTTTCCCACTGTCCTGATCACAGCTGTGTCACGTCTTTGCACGTTAGAAGGAACCTTAGAGGTCATCTGGTCTAACCACTCCCGTCATTGGGTTTAACCTTCCTACAGAAGAAACCCGTTCTCTGACCACCTCCACGGGTCTGACAAAGAACTCAGACACCACCCACCAACAGCCCAGGGCTCCGAACTCACAGCCCGAAGATCAGGGCCTGGTTACACTCTCAGCATTCCCCCCCTTTTCTCAACCCACTTTATTTCTCACTGCCTGACCCCCTGGAGCTGAATCCATCCCGCCTTTGGCTTCTTCCAAGTTCCAGGACTTACCTGCTTGTTGTAGTGCATGATGCCCAAGGTGGGGAACACCCACGTACTGGCCGGGGGCACTATGTCGCTATCAGCAAAGCTCACCCACTGCACCACCTGGGCTGCTGCTTCTGGACTACTTCCCCGCAGGTCCTCATTGCTCACTGCAGAGGCGGGACACAAAGTCAGAACCCTGGGGTCCGCCAACACCAGGCCAGTGCCCGACCAGTCCTCTCCTCCACTCCAGCTCACCCGCACCCTCTCCTACACCCCTCACTCCAGACCCTCCCATCCACCATCCAACTGCAAGTTACCGTAGTAGGCAATGGCATTGCTCTCGAACACACAGAATCCATCATCACCTTCAAATGCTGGAACCTGCAGACAGCAGTTAAAAGATAAGTGAAACACTGGCCGGGTGCTCAGTGGTTAGAGCTCCGGCCCTCCGAACGAAGGGTCTCAGGTTCAATTCCCAGTCAAGGGTACAAACCTCTCGTACCTCAGATGCAGGACCCCCAGCCCTGGTGGGGGCGTGTATGAGAAGCAACCAATCCATGTGCGTTGCTCACACTGATTCTCTCTCTCTCTCTCTCTCTCTCTCTCTCTCTCTCTCTCTCTCCCCTTCCTCCCTCACTTCCACTCTCTCTGGAAATCAATGGAAAAAATATCTTCAGATGAGGATTAAGGAAAAAAAATGGTAAGTGAAACAGTCATTTCTTACTAGCCAATCCCAGGAACTAAACTGTTCTGGATGAACGTGTTTATATAAGGCTGACAACCCCTGCTAACCAAACTCCTGATATTATCTAAAACTCAAGAACCCAAAGTATTTGAATAACTTGGTATCCCTTACAGTCTGAACTCACAAAAGAAACCCAAAATACTTAGATATTATCAGCTACTTGGATAAAATCCCTCAATCAGATGAGCAAAAGGTAAGAAGCCACCTCTTACATCTCTGTCTGTAACAGTGAGAGCATCAGGTGCTCCCCACACTGCACACGGCCCCTGGCTCCTCAGCCCCGGGGGGAAGAATCCTGCTCACAGGAGATACTTGAGTTTGCACTGAAAACAGTCAAAAGTCATTCTCTCTTCCAAAGTAAGCCTGCAAACTATTAAATGTCACTGAATAGCTCTTCATTATTTAATCATCTTTTAAACTTCCACTTACAATTAACTATTACTTTTAACTACACAGGAATCTGAAATTATCCCAGAATAGAAGAACTTTTTAAAAATATATTTTTCATTGATTTCAGAGAGGGAGAGAGGGAGAAACATGGGTGAGAGAATCACTGCACACCCACTACAGGGGATCGAGCCCACAACTTGGGCATGGGCTCCGACTGGGAATCTGTGACCTCCTGGTTCACAGGTCCGCACTCAACCGCTGAGCCACACCAGCGGAGCTCAAAATAAAAGTTTCTAAAAAATCACTGAAATACAGGGGGTGGGTGGGTCTGAAATCTCTTTAAAGATGGAGGCTACCTTCAAAGTAATAGAATCTTACAGCCATTTGGGTTCTCAGGACCAAAGACCCTTTCCCACGTCCCTGCTCACCTTGCCTGCCGGGAACTTGCGGAGAAATTCGGGGGTGCGGTTGGTCTGGCCGAAGTGGAAGTGGGGCGGTGCGGAGAGTACGCGGACCTGAGCCCCGCTGTACTGCGCGGCGATGAGGGCCTTGAAGGCCCTCCAGTTTTCGGGGTACGTGTACAGGGTCTGTGCAAGAAAGAGGGGACCGGGCGTCAGCGCGAGGACAGGGGTCCCGATCCTACCCGTCACCTCCCCGGACGACTCCCCCGAATCGTCGCCGTCTGCCCCACTCACTCCCGCTTTCCCTCGGCGGGTAACCCGAGTTCTGCAGCTCGGGGCCTTGTGTAATCAGAGCAGAGGACAGACACACCGACGGCTAAATAAAGCAGCTGACAGCGCTGACCTTCCCTGAGGACACCCGTAGAAGCACGGAACCCACAGCTTGAGGCTGCCGCGGCCTCCGCCTGCGGACGAACCCACACCGCCCGCCCCGCAGGGCCCGTTTCATTCATTGATGCTACCAGGCCGGCCGGCGCGACTGCGGGGCCGCTCACTTCAAAAGCATCGCCCCTGCCGAGGGCACACGCCCCGACCGAGTCCCACCCGAGCCGCCACGCGGATCCCGAGTGGGTCTTCTCTACCCCGATCAACCCGGCCTCCCTGTAAGGAGCCTCCCTTCCCCCGGCGCGCATGCGACCCGCGGGCCGTCGCTCAGCTGCTGTCCCGCATGAGTTGCCTGGTGTGGCCCCTCTCCGTCCAGTAACCTGGCCGGCGAGGTCCGGCTGATCGGACCCACGTCGGAGTCTCTCCGCTCCCGAACCTCCCTGATGGGCGAGCCCTGACCGTGGCCAAGTACATGCCCACAAAGACCCTCCTGTCCCTGTCCCTGCTATCGCCCCAAACGGTCGCAAAAGTTCCGTCCACCTGCCCGGATCCCACGCCTCAAGGAGGCAATGAACCTGAGCCCCTTTCTCCGGCCCCAGGCGGCCAGGACCCGGCATCTCCTTTCGCCTCGAACCCAGGCCATTCCAACTCCTCGGCCTCCCACAGCCTCAGCATCAGTTTCTGCCCGGGGCCTGGAGGCCCTGCTCCCCAACAGCACGGCCTCTGGGCCCCGGATCCGCCCCCCGCTCGGCTCCAGAACTCCTCTGACGCCAGCGGGTCGCAACCGGGCAGAGGATGGCGCCGGATAGGGTGACCCGGACGGCCAGAGCCGGCAAACTTACCCCGGCCGCCATGGTGATTCCGCAGAGAAAGGGGGTGGGGCTCTCAGTGCTGCCGCAAAGTAAGCCGTCGGGGGGGGCGGGGGGAGCGGAGAGCCGCGGGGAAACAGCGGCCGGAAAGCGAGGACGGCATAGAAGGCACACGCACGACAGTTGTGTCTACCGCGGCCGCGAAATTGGAAAAAGGGGTGGGGCCTGCGGGCCTGCGCGGAGGAGCTCGCGCCTGCGCAGTGAGTTGCTTGACGGTCCCGCCCCTCAGGCCTGGCCAATGGGAGTCCCGACGTGGAGGGAGAAGGCGCGGAGGGAACTGAGCACCAGCCGGCGGCGGCTGCGTGGCACAGCTCCCCGCCCCGGGTGCCGGGCGGGTCCCGCGGGCGCCCCTCCGCCGCGGGGTGAGAGTGACCTGATGGGAGGCTCTGCCAAGCCCCCAACGTGTTGTGACAGGAGCGGAAACTCCGCCTGCAAGTGGCCATGGGCCAGATTCCTATAACCGCTCTGCTGTGTTGTTTTAAAATATATTTCCATTTCAGAGAGGAAGGGAGAGGGAGAGAGGGAAACACCATTGCTGAGAGCGAACCATCCATCGGCTGCCTGCTGCTCGCTCCCCCCTGAAGATCCAGCCCGCAACCCGGCATGTGCCCCGACGGATCCACTGCGACCTCCTCCTGCGGCAGAGGATGCTCACCCACCAGCCACACCTGGCGGGGGCGGGGCTTGTTGCTTGACTAGAGCAGTGGTTCTCAACCTTCCTCATGCCGCGACCCTTTAATACAGTTCCTCATGTTGTGGTGACCCCCAACCATAAAATTATTTTCGTTGCTACTTCATCACTGTAATTTTGCTACTGTTATGAATCGTAATGTAAATATCTGATATGCAGGATGTATTTTCATTATTACAAATTGAACATAATTAAAGCATAGTGATTAATCACAAAAACAATATGTAATTATACATGTTTTCCGATGGTCTTAGGCGACCCCTGTGAAAGGGTCGTTCGACCCCCACAGGTTGAGAACCGCTGTCTAGAGGATAAACGTCTGAAACTTGTTAAATTGGTTTTCTCCCATTCGACAGCCTTGCAGCTCCGGGATGCTGTTCCTGCAGAAACTAGGGCCTGAGCAGGGGAGGGGCCAAGGGAGAGCAGCCCTTTCCCGCCCACCTCCTGTCACCGAGGAGTGGACAGTTTAAGACAAACTGATGGGCTGCCCTTTACCCATGTCCAGGTCTGAAGGTCTGCAGGTGCAAGTGCAGGCAGTGGGGTGTTCTCACAGGCGCTGAGCAGTACCCGCACCCCAGCACCCAGAGCTCTGCTGAGGGGGCTGCAGGAACCAAAGGGTCCCAGCCACTCCGTCCAAGTGTGAGAAAGGCTGGAAGGGCGGCCAGGCCTCAGAAGGCTGTGATAAGGCTGGGGCATAGAAGGAGGCCCGTTACCAGGTGGGAATTAGAGAAACTAGCGTGTATTAAACCAGCAGCTTTATTGCCCTTTCGGGTGCCAGGCTTCACTTAAGGAGATTGCGAAAGGCTTGAGGGAGGAAAACCTGTAAGAAATGATGGAGATCAGGGAACAGGCCTTGGGAATCCTGGAGTGGGGTCACAGTGAGCGCCTGGTCAGCCTGGGAGGCAGACACCACAAAGGTCAGGAGCGGCTCAGCCTCCGGCCTCTGTTCGGCACTGCCCAGTGCTCTCAGCTCCTGGGTCACGCGAGCCTCCGTCGCCAGCCACTCCACCCCCGTGCCCGCCCCGCCTGTGGCGCCTGCCTTGGTCTGCTGCTGCAGGCATCTCCGGGCGCGCCGCCGCCCCTGCCACACTCGGTGCCACAAGGCACAGCGCCAGCTCACTGGAGAGAGCGACGCCCCCTTCCTTGTCTCAACCTGGGCCCCTTCTTGGGCCGCCTGAGGTCCTGCGTGGCCCTGCTCTGCCAGCACTGCATGGCCTGGCTCCTCTTCTCCAGGGGCCAGAAGCTTTGCAGTCGGCAGGGGAGGCGCCCCTGGCTGCCCAGGGCTCTGCAGGGCCCAGTCCTGCGCTGCTTCTCCAACCTCTATAACCATTTCTTCCAACCCTTCTTCGCTCGGGTCCCCTGCACACCCCTGCTGCTCCTGCTCCCCGTCCTCGGAGCTGTTTTTCTGTCTGTCTAGTTTCAGTCTCTTGCGTGACCCTTCCCGGGGAGAATCCCCCGTTCCACCTCCCTCTGGCCGCAGTCTCTTGGTTCCCTGTTCCAGCTGGCACCCCAATGCGTCCCTTAACACCTGGGCCAGGGCAGCAGTGAGCTGGGTGAAGGGAGCAGGAGGGAAGGGGATGGGGGTTGCAGACAGCAGGGCGCTAGGGGAGCTGGGCTGCAGAAGGGGGAGCAGCCCCCAGTCCCGACCCCGGGAAGAACGGTGCTGGTACTGGAGGCTTCGGCAGTAACTGGCCGCCGCTCGGCAGCAGTTCTGTAGCCGCCCGGCTACCCTGCTGGTTACGTTGGCTGCCACATTGTGACTCAGGTCAAAGGGGTCCTGGAGATTCATGGGGCCGAGACGCAGGCCTTCCCAGAGGTGGGAGGGCAGGCCCCCCGCCACAGGCAGTGCCTGACCCTCCCGAAGGGACAGCAGTGAGCCACGAAGATCCCAGCAAGACACACAGGAGAAGAACTGGGCCAGCAGGGAACCTGGAGGAGGAGGAAGACCAGGGAAGGGGGTTACTCAGAGGCCAGAACCGAGACAGGCCCTGAACCAGAGCCATTCACTTAGCAGGACTTGCTTTTTCCCTTCAAGGAGCTCACCAGTGCCAGCAGCCAGGCCTCTCTGAGCCCTGCAAGCAAGAGGCCAAAGCTCGCGCGCTGTGCCCCTAGCAGCGTCCTCCCCTCCCCAGATGCTGCTCCTTCCCCTGGCAACAGTGCAGCCCCAGGCAGCCCCCATTACTCCAGGACCCAGCTTCTTCAGCTGTGAGCGGCAGTAACACTAGCTGACCCAAGGCCGTTGTGAGGGCCATGCGGCCCCAGGAACTGGGGGTGGATGCTACCTACTGCTGCCATTAACATCTCTTACTGGTCCCCACACTCACTCAGGGGCTCCTTATTGGCGCTGGGCTCCAGTCTCGAGGCATCTCTGGGGAAACTACAGTCCCAACCGTCCACCGCCACCTGCTCACCCTCACCTGGGAGAGGAGAAAAGGGGGGGTCAGCCTGGAAGCTGGAAGATGGGGGGGTGGGGTGGAGAGAGGGGTGATAACAGAGCTCTCAGTCCCCGAGGAGCTCAGTGTGTCTACGTGAGATAAAGAGCAGGTGAGATAATGCTAACGAGAGAGGCTGGAGGCCGGGCTGCGTACCTGCTTTCTGGGTGAGCTGGGACACAGTGGGCAACACAGGAGGGTCCCTGGTCTGAAGGAAATAGATCACGAGCAAGGTCAGGGCGTAGTTATTGAGAAGGGGGCCACTCCCTGGGGAAATGATGATTCATGAGATTAGAGGTGCTTCCGGCGCCCTCCCAGGCGGGTTTTCTCAACCCTGGTTTCTGTAACTGCCTCCCTCCTTTGCCCCAACACCAACTCAGCCCCAGGGCCGTCCAACTCTCACCTGTCAGCCCTCGACCCTGAGCCCAGCAGCGGAGGGTGTACACCAGGGGCCGCACCCGCTCATCCAGCTCGGAGCAGAGACTCAGGAAGCGGGAGTTATGCAGGGCCAGCCTGGGACAACGAGGAGACGAGGATGTTAGGGCGCAGGAACCCTCTGAAGGCATCTCCCCCAGATCTCATTCCAGACGTGGTAAGGGGAGCCAGGAATAGGCCAGGAGAGGGTTCCCACAGTGTCTGCTGACACACTGGCCTTCTGAGAGGCTTGCAGAGCAGGCCGCATGCTACCCGTCCTATGTGCCCGTGTCGGACATCCGCGGAGCAGATCACCGTAAGGCTGCTCAGAGCCTTCATGTGCAGAGAAACGAAGACAGGAGGGAGGGAGGAAAGGAAGAAAAGGGAAGGAGGAAGAGAGAAAGAGGAAGTGGGGAAAGGGAGGGAAGGGAGAAACCTATGTGCGTTTAACTTAGCATTTCCCAAATCGATTCAACCATGAAACTTTCTAAATCCCTTCAAACTAGCATTCCCAAACCCCACTTCATGAACATGGGAATGGCAGCCACAGGAGGTGCGTGGCAGGAAGGACGGGACCCAACAGGACAACCCCGAGGCTCAGCAGGTGCAGGAGCGCCCCACACCAGGCTCCCTCCTCAGCCGCCCCGGATGCTCCGCTGGCCTTCCCCAGTCACCCCCGAAACAGGTACCGGTTACTGAGGGAGACGTCCCCGTGGAGACCTGAAGGCCGATGGCAGAACTTGACCACGGGGCGCCGGGCAGAGGGCACGGTTTGGACTCGGTACACTCCAGGAACACAGCCCCGAAGGATGGACCCCACCAGCTCCAGCGTGGCTCCCTGCTCGGTCTTCTCCCCCTTCGGGGCCTCTGCCAGCTCCAGAGCCTTCCCCAGCTCCCCCTCTCCCCGGTCCTCCTGCAGCGGTGAGGCCGGAGGCAGGGACTGGGGAGAGGCCAGGGTCTCGGAGGCCAAAGCCGAGTCCGGAGTCTGGGGTGCCACGGAGGAGGAAGGGATTTCAAAGTCCAGGGCTTCCGAGTCTTGGGGAGAAGCTGGGGGCTGCGAGTCTGAAGGGGAGGCTGGGGTGCAGGCCAGGGCTTGAGGATCCAGCGGGGATGCGAGGGCCGAGTCCAAGGACGGAGACTCCGGAGCCTTAGGGACCGGCTGTGGATGGAATGAGCTGAGTGAATTCCTCTCCTGCTGTCCCCTCACCAAGGAACATTCCGTCCCCAAAACATACTATGACTTACTGCTTATATGTGCCAGGCCCTATTCCAAGGACTTTATACCTATAACTCATTTAATCTTCACAATACTTTTCTTTTCATTAAAAATAACCTTTCAATGACATAAAACAATGGTCTCTAGCCTACAGAAATGTCATTGTCAAAAAAGGCCCAAAAGGCAGAGAAACTGTTCCAGGGGAAAGAAGACTAAAGCGACAACGCAACCGTCCATGGTGAGGGTGGCTGACCAGACGGGAGTATGTACTGCCCATTAAAGTCTTGCCGAGCTTTACACTTGTTCAGTGTAACATTCCCTCAACGCCCTAACGGCACTGTGTTCTGCACACGCTAGAGCCCCTCGGTTCTGAGGTGGTGCACACTGGAACAGGAAGGGGTGAAGGCGTGGTGTGCAACCTGCTCTCAAATGATTCAGAAAATACAGTGTCTGTGTGTATGTGTGTAGAGACCATGATAAAGGAAATTTTCTTTTAAAATTAGCCCTTTTTGAGGGGCTGGAAGTAGATGGGAACTTTATACGTTCTGCTTAATTTTGCCGTGAACGTAAAACTCTAAAAAATGTAATAACCCTTTCCTATTCCAAAAGCAGAATCTGTACCTCAGATGGTAAAAAATACAGAGAAGCAAAAAACATAACCCCAAAATGACCTTATTATATGTCCTATTATATATATATATATTTTTCCCCCCAAAATAAGATATACATGCCATTTTGAAATCTGGGCTTTTTCCGTTACAAATGCTATCTATCTCATGTCAGTTCATGTGCATATCAATCCACATCCACATTCACATTTCTCAAATTACAATAACTCTTTCAGGCAGGTCCTATGATCCCCACTTAACAGATGAGGAACTGTTGAGTTCCTCAGAACTTGCTGGCGAACACTCCCTGGAAAATCACAACAGGGACAGAGATGACGGGTCCGCAACCAAGAACCCAAACGCATGGTCTGAGAGTGGGCACGGAAGGTTAAATGGGGAGCACCCTGTGAACTGGGAATATCTGCTTGCTGTTTCTGGAGCAACGGGAAACATTTGGACCAGCAAGTCTCTCCTTCACTTGGACCCCACACGTTACTCTCACCCGTCGGCCTCTGAAAGTCTCACTTTACCTATCCCATTGCCCCACTCTTCCCAATGACGTGACTTCACTGGTTATATTGGACCCACCCCCTCACCTTCCTGCTGTAATTAGAGTCTTTTAACATAGATGAAGAATCCACGCAATGAACACTATGCTAGATAAAAACATAAGCCCTACCTCTAACTTACCATCTAAGCATAACAGCAATACGATAGTCATGTTGCTATCGTGTGGTTGAGTTCAATGATATTCATTGGGCAAGGGGGTGGGGGAAACTGGGGACATGTGTCAAAATGAACCATTTTTTTTTAATTCAGCTCTAAGCAGTGCCTAGTACAAAGTTAGCAGTTAATAGTAATTGGCAAATAAAAGATTGGCTGAATAAGTAAACAACCAACAAGTACCCCAGTGACTAACTCCGGTGAACTGAGAAAGTTCAAGTTGGGTGGTATTCACAAAGCTGAACTAGTCCACGGACAAGCTGCATTAGGAACTGGCCAAAACGGACGCCTGGTTCCTCTCATCTCTTTTGGTACGTGGAACACCTGACTCCTCATTTACCCTCAGACACATTCATTCTACCTTGTCCTTATCCATGACGACACTGGCCACAGGTCCAAATGCCTGGAAGTACTCAGAGAGCTGAGTAGAATCCACATCCCGGGGGAAGCCACTGACAAACACACTTCGAAGCCCCTGAGCCTTTCGGGCAGCTCGTAGTTCTACCAGATGCCGGTGCTTCCGGCCTCCCAGGTGGGCATCCAGGCTGGGTCCTGCAAAGACAAACATGAAACAAAAACTTCCAAATTCGCTCCTCAGTGTGCCTGTTCTCCGCCTACCTAAATCCTACTGACCCTTTCCAAGCCATAGGAAGTGTGAACTTTGAATAACCAAACTCCTGGCTTCCTCTGCCTTCCTCTTTTGTCCATCTTTACATATAGTGCATTTCAAGTGGTTCCCAGAACTGACTACACTACAAGTATTTCTTAAACCAGCGGTCGCCAACCAGTGGTCCACGGACCACTGGTGGTCGGTGAGGTCCGAAAGGTTGGCGACCGCTGTCTTAAACCATCTGTAAGTGCTAGGAAGAGCAACACCTGCAAATTGTAAGAAAAAAAACACAACTGACTTGTGCAAATAATACATAGAAGAACGAAATATATCAAGACCCTAGACCAGCGGTTCTCAACCTGTGGGTCGCGACCATCGGAAAACACATATAGCATATCAGATATTTACATTACGATTCATAACAGTAGCAAAATTCAGTTATGAAGTAGCAATGAAAATAATTTTATGGTCGGGGGTCACCACAACATGAGGAACTGTATTAAAGGGTCACGGCATTAGGAAGTTTGAGAACCACTGCCCTAGACTATATCCCATGGGTCATCTCTGAGTATGGCATAAAGATTACAAATGCAAGATAGGAAGCCACACTGTCCAAGTTCAAATCCCAGCTCAATCAAGCCGAGATCTTGGGCAACTAACTCTCTTGTGCATCAACTTCCTCAGATATAAAACCGAGGTAACAACAGCACATAACCGACAGGAACTGTTCACATGGCACTTGGCAGAGTCTGGCACGCGGCGCACGAAGGAAAAGTTTAGCTGCCGTTATGTTTATTACATTTTGAGTCAGCTGCTCGATGTCATCAATGTACGGATGGGGCCAGGGAAGACTGGGTTTCCGGCTGGCCCTAGTGGGACGGAGCAGCGGTGCCATTCACAAAGAAAGAAAAAAAGACTGGGAGGCCCTGTTAGGGAATATCATGATTCTGACTTCGAAGGTCAAACCCGAGGTTTCATGGAGCGCCCTGTGCTGTCATACAAGGACCTTGCCAACTTTTAGAATCCCACCTGCCGGCCATGCTACTCACCCTTCCTTGCCTCTGCAGGGCTTCCCTGGCCCCACCGCTCCCCACACAGCTGCAGAGCACGGAATGGTCTCCACCTCTAGGTGGCGTGCTCCCGCATTCCCTCCCCCCGACCCCTACCCCCGCAGAGCCCAGCGGGAACCCCAGGGGCACAGCGGGTGTTCAACAAGTGGCGGTCAAAGAGTGGGTACAATGGGAGGTTTCGGATGGCGGGAAGGAGGCTGTAAGGTGGTGGGGCTTCCCCCACTCTAAGTCCTTGGGCCGGACGGAGGGAAGACGGAGGTGGGCGACTCTACCTATCGACCCTTGGCAAGAACGATGACCTGTTACCCTAACTTTCGCCAGGACCCAAAGACGAGAGCCCACAACCACCCCTCCTCACTAGCCACCGCTTACGGTTGGCTGTGGTGACGTGGCAGAGGCGGCAGCGGAAAGCCCCACGCGGCAGCGACTCGACATCCGAACCCACCGCCGCCATCGCGACTACCCGGTACCGACCGACTGCAACCACTTCCGCCACCAGCGGAGCTCGCGCTTCCAAATCGCAATGCGCTGGAAAGCAACTTCCGCCAGCCCAATCGGAAGTGACGTAAGGCGGCAAACCGTGTAGGCGCACTCCTCCGGAAACCAGGTCCCTTCGACTCAGGGTTCCGTTTCCCGCGGGTCTTAAGGCTTTGGAAAAGCCGCCCCTTCCACGATCCTTATCTGCATGCCGTAAGCCGATTGGTGTGCTCTGAGCTGTTCCGGTGCTGATTGGTCCAAAGAATCGTGAATATTCATAACGACAGACACAAAGGCGGGCGCGGGTGACAGCCGCCGTTTCCCAGCTGGGGGCGGTGGGCAGGCTGTGCTCTGCTGCGAAGGGCAATAGAGACCCGCGCGGCTGTATCCTCCGCCCTGGGTTTCCCTGGAGAACAAACGCGGAGGGTGAGCAGCTCCACGAAGCCGACCGCTGTCCCTGGACTCCCAACCTCAGGACTGTTGTTTCTCTCTCTGCCCTCGTTCCGCCCCCAAAACGGTGTTCTGCGCCCGCTTCCCAGCCCTGGTTGGGGAGCTCTGCCCGCCCCGTCACCTTCCGGACTCCGAGGGGCCACAGCCAGATGGATGAGCAAGGTGGGCTGCACGCAGGTGGGGCCCGAGCCACAGCCACCTCAAGGCATGGACCGAACCTCCTCTGGTGGCAGCTGAGTAAAAGGCATAGGACGGGGAGGCGCCGCTTCCCCCCCCCCCCCCACTAGTCTAGTGAGTGGTCAGTGCATCCTGACCTACAAGTGGAAGCTCAGGACAGGAGCGGGAGGGAGCTGGGGAGGCCCCAGGCCCAGGGAGCAGGAGCTAGGGCACTGTCGATGGGCGAAGCCGGCCTTGCTGTGGTTGTCAGCTCGTAGCTGTGGCCTGTGGAAAGAGCCTCAAGGTCTGCAACCTTGAGCAAGTGACAACTGCTGAGGCTGTGCCCATCTCTAAAGGAAGTGTGCAAGGAGCAGAGGATAGACGTCCGATCTCTCCCCTAAGGTGCGGAGACCATGAGAAAGAAGACACCTACTAAGGGCTCCTGGTGGCTAACTGGATTCAAATTTGTTTTTCCTCACCTGAGGTTATTTTTTCCATTGCTTTCCGAGAGTGGAAGGGAGGGAGGGAGGGAGACATCTGCCTTCCCCACGTGCCCTTGACCGGGAGTCAAACCCATGACCCCAATGCTCTAACCACTGAGCACATGGGTCAGGGCTGAACTCAAATTTTATTTTTTTTAACCTGGGACCCTTCAGTGCACAGGCTGATGCTCTATCCACTGAGCCAAACCATCTAGGGCTCAAATTTTATATTTCTTTTCTTTTTTTATTTCAGAGAGGGAGAGATAGAAACATCAATGAGAATCATTTATCAACTGCCTCCTGTACACTCCACACTGGGGATGGAACCCGCAACCCGGATATGTGCCTTGACTGGGAATCCAACCGGGACCTACTGGTTCATAGGCTGATGCTCAACCACTGGGCCCCACCAGCCCGTCTGGCTCAGTGGATAGAGCGTCGGCCTGCAGACTGAAGGGTCCCAGGTTCGATTCTGGTCAAGGGCACATGCCAGGGTTGTGGGTTCTGTTCCCAGTGGGGTGCGTGCAGGGAGGCAGCCAATCAATGATTCTCTCTCATCATTGATGTTTCTATCTCTCTCTCCCTTCCTCTCTGAAATCAATAAAAATATATTTTTTAAAAAGTAAAAAAAAAAAAAAACAGCCTTGCAGGAGCCTCTCCCACGACCTGCACTTCGGGCAGAAGCCTGCACAGAACTACACGGTCCTGCCACCTGAACCAGCCCTTGGAAAGGAGCTCCTCACCAATGACAGCGCCTTTGGACCGTTCCCACTGAAAGGACTTGGAGGCCTCGTTTGCATGAGGACAGATCAATCTGAAGGCTGCCCAGAGCACAGAGCTACCTAGCTGGAGAGGCCTGGCCCCAGGGTCACCTCACAGCCGAGTCTGGAGATTGGCACCACCCATCAATTGACAGGCGCTTTGTCTACTGGGGCCTAGCGACCTCGGCCTCTCAACCCTAAAGGGCAGGAGCACTAGAGTGGGCCCTGACATGAAGGCAGCTGCTGAGGCCGCCTGGGGACCCAGGAAGCAGCTCTATGCAAATAGACCGGAGCGAGGCTTTAAGATCTTGCAGTACCGCCCCCGAGTTGGCTACTTGTCTCGCTCTGACCTCTAACAACTCCCAGAATTCCATAAGGAAAAGGAGAGTTAAGAATTAGGAAATATGCCCTAACCGGTTTGGCTCAGTGGATAGAGCGTCGGCCTGCGGACTGAAAGGTCCCAGGTTCGATTCCGGTCAAGGGCATGTACCTTGGTTGTGGGCACATCCCCAGTGGGGGGTGTGCAGGAAGCAGCTAATCCATGTTTCTCTCTCATTGATGTTTCTAACTCTATCCTTCTCCCTTCCTCTCTGTAAAGAATCAATAAAATATATTTAAAAAAAAAAAAAAAAAAAAAAAAAAAAAGAATTAGGAAATAAAGAAGCATCTTCGCACACACATACCCGTCCTGTGGAGGAATCCCATCCAGAGAACCAGCTCATCCCAACTGCTTTGAATAAACCTGGGTCACCACAGGGAACTGGGGAGCAGTTTGGGCCCCACAGGAGGGCCGCCTGCCCCGGCTGCACCTCACAGAGCTGCTCGCAGGGCAAGCTCCATCTGTACTTTCTCGTCCTTTATTTTCCAACTGAAGACACCCCCACACACACACACTCATGGCAGAGAACAGCTGAGCCAGGAGGAGCTGAAGAAAACAGCTTTTTATTTGTTACTGTAAGAACCAATTACAGAATCGACATTTAAAAAATGGACAAAAGATCTTTATTTCTGAGAATTGGCGTACAAAAGGCGGAGGGGACCAGGGGAGGGGAGGAAAGAGTGAGCATGGGCTGGGTTTGATGCCAGCTTAGGGGCCTCAAACTGTTTAGCAAAGTCCGGACACCGGACAGGAAGAGAAACCCCCAATTAGGAAAAAGAAAAAAAAGAATAGACATGGCAGTGCACGCCCCCTCCCCCAACCAGGTGTCTGTTTACTCTTCCCCTCCCCTGTCCCCTTTCACAAAGGGAGGCAAAATTTTTAAAAAATTAAAAAACCCTCCCCCTAAAACTGTCCAAGACAGCTGTGGGTCCTATCCCCCGAAAGAGGCCAGGTTCCCACCGTGGGCCAATTCCTGCGGTCCGCCTTCACCGCCAGGCACCGCCTTCACCGCCAGGCACCGAGGAGCAAGGGAAGGAGACAAGCCTTGCAGTGGGAACACCAGAGGGCGCCCACCCCTCCAAGGACACACACTTGCTCCCTCCTTCCCTCCCTCCCTCCCTCCCTATGACACTCAAGAAAAGGGAACTTGGGTGAACTGGGCACCCACCCTCCAGCTTCCAGCCCCCCGCCCTTCCCCAGAAGTTCAGTCCTCCAGGACAATGGGCTCATTGGTGCTGGCAGGATGTGAGGGTGCAGGCAGAGAGACGGGGGGCCTCACTGCCATCAGCGGTGGCTTCACCTTCAGGGGCAAGTTGGGCCTGCGGGCAGCCCGCCGCATCTCCAGGTGAGTCAGAGCTTTCCGAAGGGCCCTGGCCAGGAAGAGGAGAGGGGAATCCAGAAGCCTATGACCCCCGCGCTGCCACCCCACACTCCACACGGCAATTCCTCCAGCCATTCCTGCCCGGCACCCCGAGCCTGCACCCACTCAGACACTCCTATTTCCCATGCTCAGACACTCCTATTTCCCATGCCACCAACCTGGGTTGCCAACATCTCAGCCCCCTCCCATGGTGGGCTCCCTACCTGGTATCTTTTGTGGCCACAAACACCACAGGATTGGGGGCGTCCGCTGGGTTTAGTTTCTGACGCTTGGCTGCTGGCTGGGAGCTTGAGCGAATCCCTGAAGCCAGGGGCCTGCCGTTGGCAGAGAAGGGAACCCCTGCCATCTGGAAAAGGGTGGGCAGCACAGTGAGGCCTCTCTCTCAGCCCCGTCATAAACCAAAGCCCGCCCCCTCGGCGTGGCCCTCGCCAGCCTGTCACTCACAGCCTCATAGGCCCGTTTCACCATGATGCCCCCCAGGCCCCGGCTCTGGGTCAGCTGGTTTCTGTTGATGGGTGTCTTGGTACCCCGAGGTGTTTTTGGTTTAAGAGGTGCCTGGGCCACTTCAAGGTAAAAAACAAAAAAAAACACACAAATAACATTCACACTTTCTTTTCTCTATGCAGTTTCCCTGGGCATCCCTAAGAGTAGTGATGGGGGAGGGGTCTGACCAGCAATTACCAGTACAGTTGACCCTTAAACAATGTGGGGTTAGGGGCACTGACCCTCCACACAGTAAAAAAAATCCCCAGGTAGCTTTTCCTTAAAATATATTTTTATTGATTTCAGAGAGGAAGGGAGAGGGAGAAAGAGATAGAAACTTCAATGAGAGAGACTTATTGATTGGCTGCCTCCTGCACGCTCCCCACTGGGGTTCGAGCCCGCAACCTAGGCATGTGCCCCTGATGGAAATTGAACCCGGGACCCTTCAATCCACCGGCTAGGGCACCCATATAGTTTTTGACTCTCCAAAAACTTAACCAGTATTTCAAAAGTCACACAGGAGTATGATCTTGTCAAATCAGTATGGTCATATTGGATAGCTCATGAGAAAATATTATTAACCTACAAGAGTACAGTTTGTTAAGACTAAATCTCTAAGGCCTGAATGGGAAAGAAAAAAGCAAGGGGAGAGGAGGTTTCGACAGTAAAAGGACTGAGAGCCTAACACCAGCCTAACTGGTTCCCCACCCTGTACCACCCTGCACCCAGTCTGGTTCCCCATCACATACCCAGATCTTTGACGATAGTTGCTAGGGGCAGCCGCACCAGAGGGTGAATCTTCAATGGAGTCTTGGCGGCCTTAGGGAGTCGGATGGAGCCTGGAGAAAAAGGTGAAGGGGCTTATCTATTCAGGCCTCTTCTGGGGCAGGAGCCATGTCTACATCTTCACAAACCCCTGTGCCTACTATCCCCACTGTCACTGAACACCCAGAGACACACTGGCCTCTGGCCAGGCAACCCCAACCGCCACCAGCTCAGCATTCCTGCTTACACTCTGCCTTGATGGCATTGGCATTGATGGGGGCATAGGGCCGCCGAGCAGCCCTCCTCGGCTGTAACAGGTCCCTGCACATGCGTCTGGCAAGACGGGTCAGCTTCGTGGTCTGGAGCAGGAATGTTTGCCTGTTCTTAGCCAGCAGCTTGGCCCGGTTGGCGCTGGTCGTATAGGGGGAGAGACTTTGGGCTTCAGGTCTGGACAAATGACCCCTCGAGTGTGGCTCCTGGAAGGACATAGGAAAAAAGGAAAACACAGATGGATCTGAGGCTCCCTTTCTGCCATTCTCCGAAGAGAGCTATTTAATCCTGACTGATCTCTACCACCGTCCTGACCTTGACCCTCCTTCCCCAACACACCAAGCCATCCCCATATATGGAGCTGGGTGTTCTGGCCTTCACCTAAGTTCACACCAATATGCTACTGTTCTCCCCTTCCTGCCCCCCATGTCCTTACTGTTGTGCCCCGAGCAGCCCCCTCAAGCTGGGTCGGCGTCTTCAGTCCCCCGTACTTCTTCCAGTAGATCCAGCAGGAAGCACAGAGGCGGCACTGCATGTTGGGTGGGCCCCAGGCGTACCACTGAGCAGACTGTGTGGCTGAAAGAGCGGAGAGGAGGGGGAGGTCGGCGGGGGGAAGGTGGGGGGGGTGCCACTTGAGCCCCTCAGGTTCTTGGGTCAGAGCAGACCTCTCCCCACCCCCCACATCCCTGGCCCTCCCTGGCACTCACTGTGGCAGCTCTCGCAAGTCAGGCCCTTCTGGAATCCTGCCCCGTTCATGCCAGGTTTTGAGCCCACAGAGATGATCTGGTTAGGATTTGGTTTGGTGCTAATAGGGGCAGGAGTGGGGAGAAAAGAAAAGAATTCAAGGAAAACAATCCGTTTCCACCTTGTCTCTATAATAATGTGCCCTGCCTCCTGCCCAGCCCTAATCGCTGAGAACAGCACAGCTTAGGGGAAGGAGAGGAAGCCGCGGGCCCCTGCCATCACTCACTAGGTGGGGATGTAGACCTGTTTCAGTTTGCTGTCTGCTTCCGCTGCTTTCAATCTCTTCTGCAGGAAGAAGGACAAAGAAGGGTCAGAGCGCATCTCAGCAGGAGGCCTCTGGCCCAGCCCCCTGGCCCTGGCCGTACCTGCTGGATGTAGCGGTCTGTGGTTTTCCACATGTAATAAAACTGGACTATGCTGGCCAGTGACTTCCAAGGCAGCTAAGGAGGGCAGAGGGAACAAGGGTGAGCTCGCAGCTGGTCCCAGGTCCTGGTCCCTCACCGGCCGTCTCTTCCGCCTCCCTGAGCCCCACCCACTTACAAAGTCCTGGCGAATATCATTGAAATCCTTCCCGTACTTCTCCAGGGCCTCCTCAAACAGCATGGCCTCGGAGGCGGACCATTCCTCCATCTCATCCCGGCACAGCACTGGGCCCCCCTGGGGCACCAGCGTCGACATGGCCTTGGCCAGGTCATAGCCGTTCCTCTGCAGTGTGTCCATTGCATGGAACTATGGGCAGGTCAGAAACAACGTTGATGACCCGAGACCCTCAGCATGCTCTCCTGCTGCCCTTTAAACACTCCCATTCACTCAGAGCCGCCCCTCTCCCGTCCCAGGCTCTGCAGTCCACAAAGCCCAGCCTGCCCCGCCACCCACCAGCGCCTGCTCACCAGGGTGATATCTCGAGAGGCAGCGGCTGCACTCATGTGTAGGCTTGGCTGCCGGATGGAGCTGCTGCAATCTAGGGCTCTGGCGAAGGTCCCCACCGCTCTGCGAGGGAAACCGAGGCGTCAGGAGGGAAAGAAAGCGCAAGCGGGCTGGGGAACTGAGCCAGAGGAGAAAAAAGGACCACAGCCGGGCCAAAGCGAGAATGCCCACCCCAAGAAGGGGGCGCAGAACTACGTCCACACCTCCCCCCTCCTTCTTCCCCATCCACCCACCCCTCACCGGGCCACCACGAGAAACTGGTCGATCTGCCGGTCTGTGAGAGGGTTGTCTGGGTCCCAGACCTTCATCTCCATCTTCTGCTGGTTCCGGTTATCAGACTCCCCTGAGGAAAGGGCAACGGCATCATCAGGGAGAGAGAAGGGAGGCGGCGGACAGAATCCCTGCAGGAGATGAAGGCTAAGGTGCTATGGGTTCCATCAGGCGCCTGGACGCTCACTTATCTTCCCACTGAGCCCACTGTCCCTTCCAGCTGCGGAGGCTACGTTCTGTCGGGGTGACAGCACCGAGCGTGCAGAGCGGCCCTGCACAAGCGCAAGGCTCACGACTCAGACTCTGACATCAGCTAAGCCAGCAGCCACAGTCTGCCTGCTGCTTACCCTCGGCCAGGCGATCTGGGATCTCAGCTTGGAATTTGCAACCAACTCGGATCTCCCCCTGGTCGGCGAGCAGCGTCTTCTGCACGGGGTCAAACACCAGGGAGTAGAAGAAGCAGTCCTGGGGGGGAGGGGGGGAGGTGAGCAGGGCAGCAGTCCTCAGGGCAGGGCCAATGTCCGCAGAGTCCCCGAAACACGCAGCCTGGCAGCCTGCGCCGCTCACAGTCCCCTTTCCTCTTGCCTCTGGGGAAATACCCCCCCTTCTCCCAACACCTCTTGCTCACCTCCTTTTCCAGATACTGGCTCAAGATATCTGTCTCGTTCAAGAGGGTCACGCTGCATTTTCCACTACAGGAGAGAGGTCAGAAGAGGCTGGGTGAGCACCTCACCCCAAAGCGTCCCGCACACCACCCCCCTCTCCGTCTCCCAAAGAAGAGAGTGCTGGCCAGCGGCCTGACCGTCCTTACCGGATGTGGGTGGCTGGCAAGGACTCAAACTGCCGAGAAAGAAAAAGTTCCCGGTGCTTCAGTTGATGTCGCTGCTGCTCCGACACCCCTGGCTGCTTTGACTCCTCTTCAAACTCCCCTGGGAGATGAAGGAGGAAGAAACCAAGTCAGAACTAATCCAGCAAGCAGCCACGTGAACAGCCTCGCCCAGGGAAACCAATGCATCTCGAGGGGTTTTCTCACACCCCCCAGGCTTCTGCCTTCCTCACACCCCCCAGACCAGCTCTCCCCGACCTCTCCATCGCTAATGCTCTTGGGAAAGAGCTGCTGAGGACAAACCATGCCACAGAAACACATCCCACCCAGGTGCCGCGCTCAGACACCGACCAGAAAGCCCGAATCGGCCCCACCAGGCAGGCCAGGCCGGCCAGAATATCACCTGGTCTCCTCCTTGCTACCCCAGCCTGAGGGCCAGAAACTGAGTAGATGAAAAAGCTACGTCTCACACTTCCTCTTTTCGGATTTCAGGAGACTCTACTCTGAGACATCACCCGCAATTCTAACCACCCCTCTCTTTCTACTTGGCTAAGTTAGTTTGTGGGGCTTTCAAGGGCAGTATCTCAACCCAGTGCCAACACCTTCCTCCCCAAGGAGCTGCAACTTGCCCTGAACCCTTGGTGGAAAGGGTTAACCGGGCTGGGTGCCAACCAGAGTGGGAGGGGGCAGAAGAGCCACAGGCCCAGATGCAGTGGTGCATTGTTCCCAACCACAGGGAGAAGGTGGGGGGTGCAACAGGCTCCACCCCTCGCCTGTGAGCTCCGGAAACCCTGTGCTAAGGGAAAGGGGACCACACCCCCCCACACCCCTTCTGATTGGACAAGGCCAAGGTCAGCCCCTGCCAGATGGAGCTGGAAACCCCAGAAGGCCAGAGACCTTGTTAGGCCCAGCTCCTCTGTAACCCCTTCGTGCCCAAACCAGCCTGAAATAAGGAAAATAATTTGGGAAGGAGGAACAAGTAGGGGAAAGAAAGCCAAAGCAGGAAAGAAAAAAAAAAATAAAGAAAATTGAGAGAGAATTTTTTTTTGAAAGAAGACGAGAGCATAAAGAGAAGGAATACAGAGGAAAAGGAAAAGGTGTAAAATGGAGTGAAGGGGAAAACAGGAGACGAGAAAGAGGAAAAAGTGCAGGAAAACTCCCTTTGCTTCCTAGCCTGTCCCTTCAGTGTATCTCGCCACCTCCTGATCACAGAAGCAGCCTGCTCCCTGACCACGCAGGCTTCTAAGCACCATCTCCTCGTCTTCACCTTGACCTTGGTCACCAGCCATTGTCCCAACAGAGCCAAATGCCCCGAAGAGTCCTGCCCCTCCAGAGCTCCTCCTCACCCCCCCATGGACATCCGACCATCTCAAAACAACAGATTAGTAAGTACACAGACCGTCCCTCTAACACGCTCCATTCACACACACACTCCCACACGGGCCACGGTCTGGCTCTCCCTACCCGGCTTCCAACCCCAACGTGTAAAGACAGGCCTCCCTCCACAGACCGGGCCCTTCCCACCCCCAAACTCACACCCTGCCTTGGGCATGCTACCAGGGGAGGCACCTGCGAGGACATGCCCAGGCCTCAGACCGTGGGGGGCGGGGGGCGGAGGGGGGGGGGGCGGGGAGACACTCACTGGCATTGCTGTCCGCCAGGCTGTTGAGGCTGCTGGAGATGTCCCTCCGCCGGAAGAGGCACACCACCTTGGCCTCCACGTTCCCATTTGCAGTCTAAGGGGGGGAAGGGCGGCGGGAGCCGGTCGGTGAAAAGCGGAAAGGCACCGACTAACAACAGTCCGTTTCTCAGGGATGCACCAAACCCCAGACATTATAAATAAGGGCGCACGTCTAAGGACAGACTTCCCAGCCCCTTTCCTCCGCCCCCGGGAGAGAGTCAAGTACTTTTCCCACGGAGCTCAACAGCCCTTCCTGACGCACGAATGAATGAATGCATATGAATGGGTCCTGGGGCCCGGGCCGCTAAGTTAGCGACCTCCGCGGGCAGAGACCTCCGGGGGGAGGGGGGAGGGGGCACCGCTCCACTCACCTTGTTGAGCTCCTCAATCCGTCTCCCCAGGTAGGGATTGCTGGAGGAGTTCTCAAAATAGACGTAAAAATTGCTTAAATTCCGGGGGGGGGGGGGGGGGGGTGAGCGGGGGAGATCAGAGGAGGAGGGGGGGGCAGAGACAGGCGGGGGGAGGGGGGCAGCGGGAGGTAAGGGTCCTGGCAGACAGGACCCTGGAAAGTGGAAGTGGGGAGACTAAGAGAAAATGAGGGGCGCCCCCCACCCCGACCACCTAGCTCCAGAGCCCGGTCTTTGGAAAGTGAGCCCTAAGTTAGCAAGAAGCAGGGGGCTGGCCTAGAGTCCCAACTCAGCGAAGGGGCTGCACCCCCGTCTCCAGCGCAGGGCCCCCAAGTGGCACAGCGATCGCCCCGGCCCCTCGCGCCCCTGCCGGCTGGTCGGCTCCCGCGGGACCCCTTTCCCGAGCCTGCTCCCCGACGGGGGGCCCCGACGCGGCCAGGCTGCTGCCGCCCCAGCCTCGGGGAGCCTCGGGTCCGGCCGCCTGGCCGACCCCGCACCCCGCTCCCCGTTCCGGTTCCGGTCCGCGCTCGGGACCACGCCGCCGGGGCCGAGCCTCTCGGGACCCGGTTCCCACCTCTCCCGCCCGGGGCCCCGCAGCCCCTGCCCGGAACTCACCCCCCACCCCGGTACATGTGGGCCCGCATGGCCGTTCCCGACGACGGCTTCAGCAGCACAATGGCCCCGGGAGGCTGGGGGGTATGCTTCGGCCCGAGCGGAAGTCGAGCGCGGAGCCGGGGCGCGCGGAAGTTTCGGTCGGGCACGGGCAACCCGCACCCCCGCCGCCTCAGCCGTCGCAGATCATCTCCGCCCGCAGCGCCGCGCCGCCGCCACCGCCGCTCAACACCCGGACGCCGAGGGCCCGGGCCGTCGCTCGGCTTCTCCGGAACGAGCTCCGCCTGCGGCGGCTCGGAGCCGGTTCGGCCCCTGCCCTCGCGGAGCCGCTGCAGACGTGGGGCCCGCGGCCTCGGCTTCGCCTCCTCCCCGAGCGCCTTCGGCAGACGGGAGAACAAGGCGGGCGCTCGGCTCGGGTCGGAGAGCGAGACCCCGGCGCTCGGCCACTTCCGGAAGCCGCTCGGCTGCCTCCGGGCCGCCGCGGCCCGCGCTCGGGTATTTCCGTTGCGGCTCCGCCCCGCCTCCGGGGGCGGGCGAGGAGCGGGCTTAACCCTCTCCTGGCCACGCCCGCCGCTCCGCCCGCCGCTCCGCCCGCCGCCCGGGGCTGCGCGGGGTTATTTGCGAGCGGCTTTCCCTGTCGTTTGCATGAGTGGCGCTCGCTCACCGCCCTCTCCGCGCTCCTCTGGCTCCGCACCCCCACCCCCTCCTGGCCCGGCGGCACCCCACCGAGCCCCACAAAAGGACTGGGAGGCGACTTTGCTTTTGGTTTATTGCCCCTCAGCAGGCAGCGGGAGTCGGGGCCCAGGCTGGGGCGGCCCGGCTCGGCCAGCGGGTCTGTACAGTGTGTGCTGGGGTGCTGGCCACCCCCTCCAGGGGAATGCGCGATTGGGAATGTCTCCGAGTCGAGGAAGAGGTCGGCCCCTAGTCCCGGGGCGGAGCCGAGCGGCAGGGCCCGTGGGGTCCGGGATCCGCGGCGGTCAGACGTCAAAGAGAGGAGGCCGGGGACAGAGAGGGGGTTTCGCGGAGGGCGTGGCGGGGCGCCAGCCCCGAAGCCCCCGGCTCCCAAGCAACTCCGCCAACTTGGAA